AAACCTACCAAGCCATCGAATCTGACTAAAGAGATTTCAAGTGCATCCTGAGTTAATTAGAGGTTAAAATATATTTAGCATCATACGATGATTTCAAATCCTGGTGTAGCCAAAAAGAGAATTTATTGAAATATTATTCCTTGTGGAAAGGCAGTAAGTTGGTTTTCCCTGAACTCTTAATCCACCAATGACTTCTTCATTAATTCCAAAAACTTGAATTTGTTTTTCACGATGTTCATTTAATCCAAATGCTGCTTTAAGTATTTATCTGAAGTAGGTGTGTTATGTTATTCATAATATCGAAAAAATTGTCGATTAACTCAAAAGTCGGATGCTTTTTATTTCCTGTGAGGTGAAGTATACCTTTTGCTGTAGTTCTTGAAAAAAAAATAATGTTTTCGCTGGAGCGACTTTTGTCTCTCGTTTCCGTTGACCATAAATAATTTGGTTTTAGTTTGTGACACAATTTAATTCTCCTGAATCTTATTTAAAACCTCTTTAATATATCAACATTTAAAAACAGTTCAATTTCTAAAACAAATCCTTTCAAATCAAAACATAATATATGCTTACTTGTACAATAGCAATGCAACTACAAGTTGCAACTACAATCCTTTATCTAAAAATCCTTTATCTAAATGCAACTACAATCCTTTATCTAAAAAGTGGTTCTCAGTAAGTAATTTGAGGCAGTGCGCTAAATCTGCAAAAAACCCATATTTTTTTCGTTTGGAATACTGGATTTGGAAACTGAGAACTATTAATCGAAATCTGTAACTCTTTCCACAAAGTAGTAGATCCTCCTAAATCAGACATATTGCTTCACTTCTACTCCAGATGATTGAATATGTCTTATGAGTGAAAAAAGAAGTTTTTCTTCATTGGAGTGTTAAAATCAAAAAATATTGGTTGTTTCCACTGCGAAATGAGACCTCTGATAAAACAAACTGCACTTTTTGAAAAGGACGAGAATTTGGTCCAGTTTAAAGTCATAGCAGAGTTTAGAATCTATGTGCATTTCGTCGAAACGAGAACGCATATTTTTTCTACAGAATTCAAATATTGGCATCTTTCCTTCATTACAGCAAGAACATCACTCTGAATTCCGGACTACATGAAAATTAGCACACCATCTCTTTAAGTGCTAGTGCTAGGTAAAGGAATTCCCATTTTTTTTTCCAAAAATCGTAGCTTTTAGATGACAGAGCTCTTATGACAATGCAACGTGAAATATCTTCACAAGTCACCTGATTTTTCTCTTTTCTAGCAATGCGTTAATCGCGTCTTGTAAAAATATGCTTTAGACGTTTTCCAAATTCTCCGATCTGTTCTGTTTTTTCATAAATTTCGCTGTTTGGGATTTTAATTTCTGAATTTCCGATACAAATTTCTTTACCTTCCTTCCTTCCTTGTCGTCCACCTTCTTTGTCGCTGAGCAAACATTCTAAAATTTTTCTTTTCTCTATTTTTCAATATTTTATTACAATTTTCTAAGGATATTATTTTGTTCTTCAAATTATCAATACATTCTTGTTTATCTTTACACTTAGGGCACTCAGGGATATTGTCACATAGGGCATTGTCACTTGTGAGTTTTATTTCAAAATCATTCACATTTGATTTATTATTGTCAGCTTCAGTTTCGTTCTCGGCCTCAAAATAAATTTTCTTTGGGCTTTTAATTCGTGTAATCTTTTTCAAAAGCACTCTGCATTAGTTTTCTTTTCAAATGTCTCCGATTCCTTTGTGTTATTTCGTTTACTGCACATGATAAATTTACTTTCGGCACAGCATTGCATTTCAACAGTTTCTTTTGGGGCAATCCAAACAAGCAATTTCTCATGTCATCTTCATAATCACTGCACAGAAAACGTTCGCTGCAAATTCTTGCGTTTTTCACATTAATAGAATTTCGTCTTCGACATTTATGTATCCATTCTTTCGTCAAAAGCAAATTATCCTTTGGCATGAAATACAATATCTCTTCCTTTCGTATTTCTATAAGTGTTACGGCACGTTGCTACAGCACAAGAAGCCATATTACATAAAGGATACTTTAAATATAGAATTTAAAAAGAAAAATGACTAAAATTATATATATATATATATATATATACACACAAATTATTTTAAATATTTGCATTATTAGAAAACAAATATGTATGATAAAATTAATTTGGGATATGCGATCTCCAGAAAAATCGTCTCGCAAATGAATGAAATACAGTTTAAAGGCGCGAAATCAGAGCAGTGCAACAGAGATACGTCAGATACTTCCTGTTTCCCCCCCTCCATGGGCTCGCGTCGGCGAGGAGTCGAACAAAGGAATGACCTAGCCCTTCTATTTATCCTTGGGAAGGACTACTGTTTGGAACAATTTTTCTGCTTTGTCACGTGATATACAACAGCCGATCACCGTAGATCACTTTGGGGTTAACATGTAACGGGAAAACTGGTTCTCTACTACAAACACGAAGGTTACCAAAATTAGTTATTTTTAGCGTAGTTGGCGACACATTAATTAAATCGTCTGCTTATGATTCTGTGACAATACACAGATAGAAGCAATTCTGGGAGCGAAGTAAATACGGCCATCAAACGCTATTCATGTCGAATTCAAAAGAACGTTTCATTTTAGGAGCGTATATATTTGCAGCTGCTTTCCTCATCAAGAAAAAAAAGAAAGGCTAAAAGAAAAACATGGGCAAGACAATGGCTGTTGAGACGTAAAACGCTGGGCTGCTATGAAAATTTAATGCGTGAACTGGCATTAGAGGTAAGAGTTATTTCTTTTTTTTTAAGTTTAAATATGTGCACATATGCATCCAAGGTTTTACAAATAAAATGTGGATAGTTTATAATTCATGAAACGTACTTAAGACTTTCCATATAATTTTTAGGACAGAATTTCATTGCAAATGATTGTAGATAGATATTTCAAGATTTTTTTCTAAATGCTTTAATTTTTAATATTTTATTTTCATTCACTTTCATTTTTATGTAGTTGTATTAGCATTTGTATGTATGTGCACTGTAATATGTATTTAACTACATAACAAAGTATATGTGTATATATTAAAAGCATAAATTTAAGGAATGTTTTATGGTAGTCTTCTGTTATCGGATCTGATTCAGAAATGTATACACATACATATGTTCACACATACAGGGAATGTTTTATAGTAGTCTTCTGTTATCGGAATCTGATTCAGAAATGTATACACATACATGTGTACACACATATACATATGGAGTACATGAACACATACATCCATACATTTCTGAATCTGGTCCTAATAACAGAAGAGTAAATTTATTTTTCAAATGTTGACTGTTCAAAATATTCTTTAAAATTTTATGCTGCTTGAGTACTTGCATTCTTATTTAGTTTAGTTCGAGCAGGATATTAAAGACATCGAACTATCGAACAAATATGGCGAAGCTGAATTAAATCTATGTTGAATTTTATTGTTGAAAAAAATTATGCTCTTCAGATTTAATGTTAGTTTTTATTGGTAACAGTAATTGCTGTTTTCGAATACCTGTAAATAACCTAATTCTTAAATTAATTTATGTGTATTCTTTGTAAGTATTACAGTTCATAAATTCAAACAACTTGAAATTTGACTTGTTAATTATGTGGGATATGTTCATTAATAATTTTATAATTTAAATAACTCATGTCATCATATGAGCATAATCTAAAATGCACAGCATTTGACAACAAATTAATAAAACATTAGCCAACTTCTAATTGATTTCTTTTGTCCAGTTGTCTCCTTTAAATCATTTAATACTATAAAGCTATTTGATGAAAAAAGTAATTGGTATGTCCACATCAACATGTACTTTATAATGATGTTATAGAAAAGTCACATGAGATAAATATTAAAAACTTCAATATTCCTAAACAAATAACTTTTTAAAATTTATCTGATATATAAGATAAAATAAAGAAACATATTTAGGTAATTTTGAATTTGCATAATTTTATGAAATTAACAGTTACATTGTAAAAGGGAACTTTTAAAAATGCCTCGATTAAAGCATTTTTTTTTGTAGAGGTGAATTTTAGTACTGACTAATATATTTATAAGATTTTAAACTGAGAAAATAATAGATTGCAATACATTGCAAGATTGACTGTAAATGAAATTTTACATATCATAATTATGTGTGTAATTAAAACAGAAGTACTCGATTAACTTACATGCAAATTAATATTTTCTTTAACATGTTTTGGATAAACTTAATTTTAATAAATACGTATATATTTGTGTATTATCTGAAGATATGAATGCAATATTTGTGACATTAAACATTCATCTTCAAGGAAAATAACAAAAAGTCAACTTCGTAACTATTGGAAAAGGTAAGTTTTGTACAATTTCCTGGTCTATATTTAACAATTTTAAAATTAAGCACACTCATTCAAATAATCTAAATGTATGATGTTTTCTTTTGCGCTACAGTCGTTTACTGAATATGGTAATTAACTATATTGTACTTTAGCTAGAAATTAACGTAGATATTTCCCGTATTTTACGGTACGAAAACTTGTATATTTGATAATAATTGACCTAAATCTTCCCAGTTTTCTTTGCATATGCGAATGACTTTGGTAAAAATTTAGTCCGATGTCTTCTCCTCTTTACTGTGTAAAGTGCACATTTTTGGTAAAAAATTTGCATAAATCTCCAATTTACTGCGTTTTTCGTAAAATATGCTTATTTTAATCTCATATTTTTTATATAAATCTAAGCAAAAATGTTCTATATATTATGATTAAAAGATAAAATGTTAATTTGATATCAAATTTTTACATATCCACCTTTTAGCCACCTACAGCACCACCTACAGCAATATGGAATATATATAACTGGAAAATTTAAATGCAAAAAAATTAATTTCTATTCAAAAATTACGTAACACTTAAAGGCTGAAAATCACTTAATATTTCATTTCAAAGTGACTACAAAATATGCAATGAATTTTGTAAACCTGAGTTCTATGTTTTAAATCAATGCTATCGTTCATTTACATGGCATAAGAAAATGTCCTTAGGAAAAGCAAATAATTTATTTAAAGTGTTATTTAGTAATAATTTCAATAATATTTCAATAAATTTAAATTTATGAAATGAATTTAGTAAACAAAAATGTAAATAAACGATAGCATTAATTGATTTAAAACCTAGAATTGATGCTTACAAAATTTATTGCCTTTGTAGTCACTTGAAATGAAAATTAAGTGATTTTCAGCCCTTTAAGTGTTACGTAATTTTAATAGAAATTAATTTTTTGCATTTAATTTCCAGTTATATATATTCCATATTGCTGAACATACCTAAAAGGTGGATATGTAAGAATTTGATATAAAAATGACATTTTACCTCTTAATCATAGCAGGCAAAAAGTTTTTGCATAGATTTATATAAAACATATGAGATCAAAATAAGTACATTTTACGAAAAATGCAGTCAAAAAGGTAACTGAAGATTTATGCAAATTTTTTACCAAAAATGTGCACTTATACACAGTAAAGAGGAGAAGACATTGGACTAAATTTTTACCAAAGTCATTCGCATATGCAAAGAAAACATAGGGAAGATTTAGGTCAATTACTATCAAATATATACTAGAAAATCTTTGATTGAGGTTGAGCTTTTATCGAAAAGTTTGTTTCATTCTTTATCATCATATCACATGGTATAACATAATTGTTCCTTATTGTGTAAATGAAATATTTCCACGTGTTTAAAAAAAGTTTCCCTGGCTTTGTGAAATGAGTATTAAGGTTTTAGTCTCTTTTAAGTAAATTCAAATTTGTTTCATTCAAATAATTTTCAAAACTGATAAAAAGCTCCCAGAAATTTGTAAAATAATAATAATAATTGTAATTGTCTCCCAAATCCTTCTCTTGTAAACATTGTATGGTAAAAAATCTGAAAATATTAGTTTGTACAATGTTTGAATATAATCAAATAGGTATTTATTGAAATTGTTTTGTTCTAAAGAGTTTATAATCATAATGTATATTTTAGTATCTATAATCAGAATTACCTAAATCAAGCTTATGTTTGTTTGTCCCTTTATAATAACTGATGGGCAACGAAAATGAGCTTGTTTTAGTACTGGACAGATTGAAGGAAAACTAGCACCTTTATATCTATGTTGGTACTTTAGGTATTGCTGGGCCTTGTTAAGTACTAAGCTTCCACCCAGATGGAATTTTCAGGAAGAATGCTCTGAATGTGGTCGGAAAGTCTCCTACCAACAGCCTCTCAAGTATTTCGCCTCACCTTCTGCTTTTAGTGCTCCTTGCTAAACAACAATTACACACTTACATTACAACATCCATGCCTTCTTTGGGATTTCAATTCGAACCTTTTGGTATGGTAGGCAGCGTCAAAAACTACCATCCTGTCTGGGTGCTACTGCATATCCTGTATGGAAGATGTCTTGTTCTGCATGAAGACATGAAAACAATCACAAAAGAAAAATATGCCTTTCTGTATGTGAAGGACTTCTTTGAGAAGTATGACTTAATGCTATTTTGTCAATCAAAATAAAATTCAGAAATCGCTTGGATGCACAATCAGATATAAGAATTGCTATTAACAGTAAAGTGCCACAATTTGAAAAAAAAAAAAAAAAAAAAATATCCAATACACACGAACAGAAATATTTATTAATTATTGTTTTGAAAAATTTATGCAAATATTAAAATTTGTAATATTTTTTTAGTTCCATGTTTCATTTTCGTTTATTATTAAAATTTGATTACATAACTGTTTTCTTTTTCCTCCCCCCTAGAAACTTTGTTAGGGGCTGCAAGAATATAACAATTTTTTAGAACTGCTAGACATGGAAAAGTTTGGGAACCTGTGCCTTAGAAGATGATATTGTAAAGTTCAGTTTTGAACTAATAAATCTAATATCTATGTGAATATGTTTCAAACCTGTTTCTGAATATATATATATTTATATTTACATAATAAACTTAAAAACGAGAAGATAGCTAAAGTTTTCATTTAATAAACTAAATATTTGTTACATGAAGGAATAGTGTTTGAGCCCAGTACTGGCATATGTATATACACGAGTGAAATCATTAAACAACTGGGACACAAAATAATTTTACTCTTTACAACATTAAAGCATTCTTAGTTATATTGCTGTCATAAAATCTGGTCTAAATTTTTGTGAAATGTAAGTTAGACAGTACAGTGCTTATACCACTTGTTCATCAGAGTTCTTATGCAACCTCTGGTTTTGCAATCATTGGTTGTGTGCATATATTGGAGTTTAAAAATTATTTAAATAAACATGTAACTGTAAATAAACATTAACATTTCATGAAATTTAGTGTTAGGAGAATTAATGTGCAATTTGAGAATACAGTCATTGTGCGGGAAGGTGCAGAAAGAACGTCTATGCATACAACGTCGAATACATAATCTTTGTTTGATCAGTTGACTTATGCGAAAACCGATTCTTTGGAGAAGTCAAACGAGAAACAGTGATTCAAACGGAATGTTTTCAGTTCAGTATCAAAATATCTCGGTAGCTAGGCGGGACGCAGTTTTCAACGAAACATGTTTCGGCTAGCAACAGTTCAATAGTAACTGTTGGCCATTAAAATAGCAACATCATGAAGAAAAGCAAATACAAAAAAGATATTTATTGCACTTAAACAGTATAGCATGAAGACAAAATGATTAAACTTTCAGCAGTTTGGGGGTTTACGAAGGGGCAAAATTAGTACAAACAGCTACCCCCTGGTTGCTAAAACAAAAGGCTCTTACCCGGTTAGGCATGAAGTCGAACTGGGATTGGATGACAGAAACGGGCAGCTCGCTCCATGCTGCTTCAAGTCTATGCCCCACGTCATCATCATTAGCTGGAGAGAGGTTGCGGGACAGTCTCTCAGCAACCTATGACCAGATGTTTCGAATGGGTGACAGATCTGGGGACCGTGCTGGCCAGGGCAGCAATCAAATACCCTGTGTATCAGAACACGACGTGCGGCATGTGGTCTTGCATTATCTTGTTGGAAGATAGCGTTTGGCAGGCCTGGAAGATAAGCCAAAAAATGGACGTAAGATGTCAGAAATGTACCGATCTGCGTTCAAATTACCGTCGATCCGAATTAGAGATGTGCATGTCATGTATCCAGAGGCTGCCCAATCTGTCACACCAAGTGCAGGGTCCCTATGCCGGTATCGAAAGCAAGCAGTCGACGTGCGGTCTTCTCGCAGCCTCCAGACACGTATACGGCCTTCAGATTATTGCACGTTGAACAGGGACTCATCTGAAACGACGACACTCTTGTATCCAGTTTTGTCGTTCGGTTCACCAGAATCGCCGTCTTTCTCTATGCTGCATTTTCAAGGGAAGCCAAAGTAGTGGTCGTCGTGCTGATAGTTCACTCTGCTGCAGGGCTTAATCTCTAAAATTAGAAGTGCCGGAGCCCTATGGAACACCGCCAGCAAAGAGCAATAAGAGTAAATAAATAAATAAAATGACTATTAAACTCATTAATAATTTTTAAATTAAGTAGTTAATTATTATCGAATTAGTTAAGAACTATTTAATTAATTTTTATAGATTCATTTGATCAATAATTATTTTATAGTTAATTAATTATTATTTATTGAAAACATTAAAATTAAATAAAATGTAAAGCGACAAATTAAAATCTAATAAGCGAATTTTAATATAATTTTATTGCTGAAAATAAAATTTTCGAGTTAAAATTTCTACGGAAATTGTTATTCCGTTCATAAAAGAAGTGCCTCAGGTAGGTTCGTTCTTGGCAGGGACCGTACTGGTGCTGTCGTGTCCGTTCCTTCGGCTGTTGTGGAGCAGATATGTAGATGTAAGCGGGATTCTTCGATGAGGGTTTAGCCCTCATAGTCTGAGTGACGGGGACTGACAGAGTAAGGCAAAGCACCGAGCACAAATTAACTGATGCTGAGGGAGTGGTGCCCCGATGCAAAGGTGACATAGTGTTTCTTCTTCGTATTTAGCATTAGGAGAGACGCTCTTCGTCAAAAACTGCGTAAAAAAAGCAGCAGCACCGCAACTCCAAGAGCTGGTGTCAGGGGTGAGCAGAGAAGAGAAGCGCAAAGTGAGCTTCCTGCGAAAAACAACCCCGTTTAGACAAGACGGTGCAGCCAGCTTGGCTAAACCCCGCCCGAAAAAGTGAAAAACCCAGTTACCAAAAACTCCCGCCTTAAGAAATGCAAAATTTTACCAAACCCAACCAGTTTGAATTTTTAACGGATGTCCCAACTCACCAGAAATCGTGCTGAGATGAGGCCACGCCTAAACACCTGCGCATGTAAAACGTGGCAACCCTGACAGGCGTGTGTGTGTGAATATGGCAAAGCCTCGAGGGCTATCTGCCTAAGAGGATGGATGCCTTCGTGGAGGACTTTCTAAGGGAAACCGGCTCGTATACACGTTACACATGGGGAAAACCACGAAAACGCCCATGCAGCCAGTCCGTTCGCGGGATTCGAACCTCGGACCGAACTACCAGTGTTCAGTGATTTTACCGCTCGGCCGCTGGTGGGCCCAACCCTGAGAGGAAAATGGCTTTTCCAAGTCCAAAGAACGCACATTTTTTCGTTGAGAGTGAACTTTCGAAACTCTTCTTCCCCCTTTTTTGTTAGAAGAAAAACTTAGGAAATTTCAATAATTAAAAGGCTGTAACTAAAAATTGATTAAGGCTGGGATTAAGAAAATAGTCTCAAACTAAGGAGCTAATTTTTCTGCAACTATTGATATTAAATACTGAGAGTTTAACTTAATTTTTATCATGAAAAACTGAGTTTATTACGTAAAAATCCCTTTATATCCAAGTTTGAAGACGCTATTCGCGTAAAACCAAATAACCCAAATTGATTGCAGCACATAATAATAGCCAAATAAATTAGTATATCCAAACTTGTTGTGTAGCTAAAATTTTGAATATTTACACATTAAAATTTTGATTTCTGTGATTCATTTAATTTTATTAAAATTTGCTACACAACATATCCTCCCATGATCGGGGAATTTTTGGCTGCAAGCCAAAAATTTTAGGACCCACAGACAATGGAAAAGGTTTACATAAGGAACCAATTAAGAAGAAAAAAATCATAGTAAGTGTTGGTACAACCACATGTTAATCGCAAAAAAGGATACATGTACTTATTTACAATTAATCCTACCATGAGTCATGGTTATGGTTAGCACATATATAAGTCCTACCATGAGTCATGGTTATGGTTAGTCACATATATAAATCCTACCATAATTCTATGATTAGCAAATCCAAATCCTACCATAATCGATGGTTAGCAAACATTCCATTATGAACCGAGCAAGAGGGTCAAGAAGTGTTCCTGGCACACAACTAAGTATACATCAAAACAAAAATAAAAGTGTTGTCAAACAACGCGTGACACACCCCAAGATAAAAGTGTAAAATAAAATGTAAGTTCACGATACCCCCAAAGGCAAACCAAAGTGAAAAAAAAAAGTGTGTAAACAAACAAAATGTGTGTAAATAAACAAAATAAGTGTAAATAAACAAACACCACTGAGTATACGAGTGTTCAAAAGCAAAACAATTCAAGAGCTAATGGCGCTTGACACACAACAAAAATGTAAACAAACTAAGTTCCTGCAATCACCAATTTGAAGTGAAACTACAAACACAAAAGTAAGTTTAAGGAAATGTCTACTGTATAAATCATGAATTTTCCCTAACACACATAATTTCATTTCCCTAAGCACTGACACCCCACCAATACGAGAGGGCATAAGAGTAAACACCGCAACTGTACAGCGCAAACTAAACTACTAATAAATCCCTGGCAAAAGAAATTAAAGTGAGTTGCATCATTATGAACAGAAGACAATCCCCATGAAGTGTTGGCAAGAGAACTATCTAGTCAAAATTCTAACCGAAACAAATCCCGACTACCATGGCTAAGGGATTTCAAGAGAGAAAAAAAAAATTTTGAACTTAAGGAAGTGGAGATAAAAGGCGAGGACCAGCCCAGCAAAACCTCAAAAAAAAAAAAAACAAACAAACAAACCAAGCTATTGAGACCAGAAAGTTCCAAACCAAGACAACTTGATCACTACTTCACATGCCAAAACATGTAAAATCCAAATGCAACACTCGACCAAGGATAAGCCAAGAAGACTACACAACTATGCTAATTGATTACAAATTTAGCCACATAGAATACAATTACCAATAAAATAAATATTAAGTTAACCAAATTGTATACAAATCAAATTATATAATCCAAAATATTTCAATTCACTTTTTAGACACAAAACCATGTGCATCTCTAGGCCTTAGATGGTAAGGTGAATCGTGTGACAAGTTCTGTACATTATCTGCCAAAATTATGTCATCTTTTTGAAGTGTGGGAAAAGTAATTCTCTCTGGTACTTTCGTGAGTCTGTCCACGTGTATCGTCTGAATCCGATCAGGATTTGTAATTGAAGCAATTTTATAGTTGACTTTAGTCACTTGTTCAATAACCCTGAATGGTCCCTGATTCAACTTAGAGAGTTTTCTAGCCATACCTGGCTGAACTACTGGAGTGTATAAATACACCACATCTCCCACTTTTATTTCCTTATCATGAGAAATCTTTCCACGTGAATTTTCCTGCTTATCCGCAGCCTCCGTTAAATTCTGATTGACTAATTTAAAAGCCTTTTGTAATCTCAAAACCAAATCTTTAGAATAGTTGTTTGTGTCATCATAAGTTCTAAAATTGGTTTGCAATAATAAATCAATTGGTAAACATAAATCCCTGCCATATAAAATAAAAGCCGGACATTCCTGAAGTGCACTATGACGACCAGTTCTGTGTGCCAATAAGGCAAAAGGCAGATGTCTATCCCAATCCTCCTGAGTTTGAGAAACTAAGTGGCT